CATAGACTAAACTCATTAATAGGCAATCGTTCGATGGGCTGAATTGCACAAAACGCATGATCGCACGGGCTAGTCTGATGCGCGTTGCTATTTATTTGTATAGTCACAGTGGTGTCGTACACGCTGCTTATCGGACGAAAAGTCTGATTGTTTATATAGTTTTGTGCCTGGCTGATTATCTGTATTTAAATACCCATTTTTTTTTCAAGGTAGAATTTGTACGGAGTGGACGCAGAAGTTACGCGAACTGGACGTGTGCAAAATGCAGATTTTTGCAACTGGTATTGATGGCTCTCTGCGTAGTGTCGATGTATCGGCCGAAACGACAGTGGCCGAGCTGAAATCGCTGTTGCTGGCCGGCGATGATGCAGTTCTGTCGTACGAATCCAAAATTCTTGCCGATGATAGTGCGCCCGTTTCGATGTTTGGGATTCGACCCGAATCGACCCTGCATGTGAGCGCTCGACTTCTTGGCGGTAAAGTGCACGGATCGTTGGCTCGTGCGGGAAAAGTACGCGCGCAGACGCCAAAAGTTGAAAAACAGGAGAAGAAAAAGAAGAAAACGGGTCGAGCGGCTCGTCGTATTCAGTACAACCGGCGTTTCGTGAATGTTGCCGTTAATCAGCCAGGTCGTAAACGTGGACCAAATTCGAATGCCAAGTAATGAGCCGAGGATGAAAAGGAGTGATTCGTGGTGCGCCTTACTGAAGTGTTATTGTTTTGCTATGCGGAATTACGATTGGTGAAAATAAATTTTTTCGAAACAAAAATTGTTGAATTTTTTTCTGCTGCATATTTTGGTATCAATTTTCAATTGCTTTTATACCTTTGAACATCTCTCGTATCATTTATTCGTTTTGATCGCTCGCAACGTCACTGCTGCAGCTGGCTTTTCATAAATTAACTTAGATTATAGTTCTTTTCATAAGTTCAGAGTAACTCGAGTAACTTTGCAGAAGTATTTAAATGATCCCTTTTAATTCACTGGTTTTCCTAAGGTGTGTAGGCATGTGTGTGTATGTTTATGTTTGCGTGTGTATGTGTATGCGTGTCTTTTTGTTTATTTTTGTGTATTTGATATGTTTATGTTTGTGTGTATTACGTGAAGTGTGTATGGGTAAGTGTGTATACACGTTTTGTTTGTGTGTGTATGTGTGTTTGTATGTATGTATATGTGTGTATGTGTATTTGTATGTATGTATGTATGTGTGTGAGTGTGTGTGCGTGTGTGTGTGTGTGTGAGAATGCACATGTGTTTGCAGGTATGTGTCTGTTTGTATGCATGTGTTTCTACGAATGCTTCACGCAGATGCAGACGTATGTGTGTCTTTATACATACTTATGTTTCTGTGCATGTGCTTGCACGTTCCTCAATATGTAGGTGTGTATACCTACAGTGTGTGTGTGTGTGTGTG